ATTTTTACAATTTACCGAATAACTCTCGGTCGAGTGAAATTTAGGAGACGTATAGTAAGTAGGTAGTATTTTATGCAATAATAGGGGTGCATAATGAGAGTTCTTAAAGTCGAATACCATGTTTAGTAACTAACTAATAGGTAGGAGATTACAAGACCTAATTATGTAATGATTGCATAAAATACTTTTTCTGCTAGTAAATTAAAAGAATGAAACACAACCAATATTTAAAGATTATTTTATTTATATAGTTCTTAAATAGTTTTTTGAAAGTTATTACAGTTTTGTGTACAAAATTATAATAAAATTATACCATAGACAATATAACTTTGGTTCAGAAGTAAAAAGAGCGCCTTTGTGATATTGTCTATGAAATCATAATTGACAGATACAGGAGTAGAAAAAGTAATTTGCATAATTTCAATTGAAGATGATGGTTTATTTATTGAAATTTTAAGCTATTATGGTAACACTGTTACCATTTAAGGTGCAATAGTAATAGATATTTTGTCCCAAAAAATATTTAGATTATAATAGAGAATGCAGAAAGCATTTAGGTTTATTTTCTCTTTTAAATGCTGTTGTTTATTTTATAATTTATACTCGAGGCTTATGCAAAGAAGGAGTGTAAAGTTTCATTTTTTTTTTAATTCTAAAGGTTACTCCACATTGGAGGTAAAGAAATCAACGTTTTAACGGTTCTCTGGTCAATAAAATCGCCCAAGTTTTTGGTCCTAAACAACACTCAACACTATCTTGCATTCCTAATTCCGACCCTTGTTACTTATCCTTTTTCAACGCGGTACTGTATGCCACTTATTTTTCTGTGATAAAAATAGAAACTGCCACGAGACGTCAAATTTACTCTCAATTGCCAGGGTTATGGTACACAATGATATCACGGATAAGTTCTGTGAGGTTCTGTGAGGTGAGGTTACAGGAATTTAAGTCCATATTTTAGAATTTAGATGTTTTTACGAACATTGCTTTCGAATAATAAAAATCACCCAATGGTGAAATGGCAAAATGTTATTTGACTTTTAAATGCCTAATTATAACCGTTTAAAACGCTCTGTAGTTAAAAAAACTATTTGGCACTTGAGGCTCTTTAACTCTCACCTTTTGTTGATGGCAATGTAAGTGTGCAGTCACACGAATTGCATTCTGATTGCAAAATAACAATTGGAGTGCAGTTGGAAAGCGGTTTGAACTGCACGCCAGCTGTTATAGTTTGCATTTGTGATGCTGTCGCGTTGCAATTAGCGTGTTGTTGCATGCAAACTGTTCGTGTGACTACACACTCAGCCCTGCACATCCCTTGTAGTTTATAAAGAGAACCTTTTGATTTCTTATCATTCAAGAAACATGTGATTGGCCATTATTTAAAAAAATAAAATTTTTGCTCTAGCATTAGTTACTTTCAAATAATTATACTTTCGTGTTTGTCACGTTTTAGCATAGTTTTAATGGTTTTTATTATTGTAAATTAATTTGGTTTATTTTCATGTTAACAAATGGGAATTTTACTGCTTTGAAAATTAAATAACGACGTTAAAAAATGAATAAATCACAGAGCATTATTCAAATTTAATTTAAATATATTGATTTTGATTGGCCACGATATTACCAATCGGAAAGAGGCCCCACTAAACGAACACTAGTTGCCTTAACCAGAAAAGAGAATAGAAATAATTTGTTCTAGAATTTTAGAAGTCTACTGCAGAAAACTTTTTATGTAGTTTAGCAGCAAAAGAATTCCCTTTTGTAAAAAAGAAAAATATATTTGCTTGTTTATTAATTAAGGTATTTGTACATTTTATTATTAGTTTTAGTTTTAACAGATGTATCTGACTCACATTGTAAATCTTGCACAAAAAGATTGAAAAAAAAAAGATCCCATTGGCCGTTGAAAAGAAACCACCCTAACACGGCGAAAAAAAAAATTTCTCAAGTCAGTACATATTTTTTCAAAATGGCGGTTGTCTGTTTTTTGTAAAAGAGCGATTTGTAACACAAGAAAAAAGTAGCTTGTGACATGAGTTTGTTTTTGTAAAAAAAAAATCTGGCTGTTAAATAACATAGCAACCGCCAAAATAAAAATGGTTCTTCAAGTTTCTAAGATTGAACGCCGGTATAGGCTTTCGGGCCTACTTTTTCTTTCAGCTTGCAGACGTTTTCAACGACGAAGAAGATGGTAAAAATATCCAGAGCTATTATGGTCATTCTCGAACTACTGTTCATGTTTATTATTTAGATATTCAATTTTTTTTATCAATATTATTTAATATTCCGGTTATGTATCGTGAAATATTATTTAATAGTTACACCATAATATACTTGAATATTTAAATAATAAAACTGTCATGAAAATTAGATAGTGATCACTAGTCCGAGAACATGAGTATGTAACCAGAAATAGAGACGAAATAAGGGCCATCCACCCCTGGTAACTCTGAGCAAATCCATTAGATCATTGCTTTAGCAGTAAAGGCAATGGAGAAGGTAGGATCCTGGATAAAATCATTAACTACTATTTCTAACTGACTTCAAAAATGGAGGAGGTGAGCCAGTTATGTCCCGCTGCACACAGGATAATTTCAACATTATTTTTTTCCGACTATATTCAATAACAAGTTGATTGAAGAAAGTGCTTTATTGTATTCATATATCAATGAAGTAGTTATTTTTATTATAGTTTCACATAACAACAATTAATTGACTAATTTGATAAGCTCTTTTTTTTCAGTCAACTAAAACTTTAAATCTAGGTTCGCGTTCAAATACTTCGGCTTGAGTTATATTCTTGGAACCTTAGAATAATAACGCATAGAAACCTAGCCCGTACACGCTAAGTGAGGCAAATTGAAGCGCTCCCAAAGGGCCTACACGAGCGGACGGGCCTTCAGTGCTCAAGGTCAACTTGCACCGCGAACAGCTCCAGAATTTTACCTAAAAATGACTAAATGTGCGGTAAATGAGTGTAAAAATACGTCAGACAAATATAAAATAGGTACTAACATCACATTCCACAAGGAAGTAACGCGTTTCAACTTGTATTTTTGTATAAATATTCACTAAAACCGAAAATTAACCTACTACTAAAACTAGCCTACATGAATTTGTTTTTTGCCTCACTTGTGACAGTTCGTTTGATATGAAACTATTATTCTATGCCATTGACTTACAAATAAATAGACGACGGGTCTAATACAAAAACCACGAAAAAAATGCCCCAAGTCAACCTATTTAAACGTAGTGACATGTAAAGGAATATGAAAAAGCTAAAACGTTGAATTTAGATTGTAATGTCATGGCAGTACTGTCTAATTTTGCTTGCTTCGCTGTCAGTCGAACAAACGAAGACTAGAGCGTGAATGACGCTCTGTATACGATTTTGACGCCCTATAAGTTCGGACACTTTAGCGCGGACCCGACGTCCATATAATTGTAAGTCAATGTTCTATGCGTTATTATTCTAAACTTTGAACTATAAGCGCCATTTAGCCAGTGTGACCAGCTACAAAATCGCGGCTGTATTTCAGTGGAGTGGCGCTGGGGATACATTTTTTACTCCAACGTGCATTCCTGGTTTTAAAATAAATTCTATTATTTATTTACAAAAGATAATGATTGAGCAGTAGAGATTTAGTAGCGATAGAGCTCGGGTGAAAGAGTTCGTTCAGGGAAGTACTGCCACCAATCTTTACTGTCTTCCGGTTTCAAAGGGTAAGGGAGCTGGTGAAATTATTGGCACATGAGACTTGTTAATTATGTCTCAGAGTAATGGGTGCAGTGGCTGAGAGGCATCTCAGATCTGCGATTTTTCTCTTTCTTGGTATAATAATAAGTATGCCTAAATCGTGTCAAATAACTACAAAAAAAGCCCGCCATTTTTCTCCTTGAAATGAAATATTATTATTGTTTATTTACTGAGCATTGGCTATAGAGCCATCAGTATAAAAAGGTAACAAATAATGAAGGAACAACGAAATAAAATAAAAATTAATTCATTAAAATGTAATTTTCTCGCACATTTGGCTTGTTTTTTATATGCAACTAAGAGCAAATCCTCGAAACGTTTCAAAGTTTCAATGCCGACTCGAAATGCATGATTTTTTTGCTTTGAATCGATTTTTTTAATCATATTATTATGCGTCTAAATCGATCCACAAATCGGATCGTATGGTCTTGAATCGATCACATAAAAATCGTTGCAAAATTAATTTCGATAAAAAATAAATTTGACAGCCTTTGTGGCTTCAGTCGGTTACAAATTTCATTTAGAGTGATATTAGCCAGTGAGAAGTAGCTACAATCGCCAAATATTGTAGACTTATTATACTTAGATGCTGCTAAACTGCTTTTCTTGCAGGCCAATATAAAATATGATTAGCCTTACGATTCAATAGGGGTTCAGACAAACTATTTTGTTTAAATTATGAATACGATCTTGACGATTCGATTCGACTTAATATTGAATCGATTTACTTAAAAATCACATCGAAATGTATCGATACAAAAATCGCTAGTTCGTCGTATGCTCTTGAATCGATTTTTCTAAAAATCGAATCGTAATGTGCAACTCGAGTTGACTCGGTGTATTACAGAGCAACCGCGAGTTAGCTCAGGTTCACAAAAAGTAGCTCGAGTTGACTCCTCTCCTTCTGGGAGTAACTCGACTCGCCAGTCGTTCGCGACTCGAGTGTGCTCCGAAGGTCACCGGATCGACCGAGTGAGAACGAGTAACCGCTGCGAATTGCGCTGTATGAATGCAGAATGAAGTATTCGGCTCGGTGGGGTAAGTACCGAACCGAGTTAGCTCGAGTTCTTAAAAAAGTAACTTGAGTTAATCGAGTTAAATAACTCTACTAGCCCACCGCTAATGTGCATCCCTAATCCGAACTTTTTTTCATGTTATCGTCATTCGAGGAAGTGGACGTGTGTGTTGTATTTTTTTCTAAAATTAGTAATTCGTGTTGAATTACGCGTGCAATTATGTTCCGTAAATGATATTTAATTAAAGGGAAAGTGTTTCTTTAATACATGAGTGAAAATGGCGTTGAGTTCGGCCGCGGAACAATATTTTCGTTCAATTAATCCTATTGCCTCAAAAATCTACGAAGATATTGATGAAGCCAGGAATTCCTACGAGAATATATGGGACACGCTTACAGACAAGGAAAAGGTACGTTAATAAACCTTCCCCAATACTATTCAAGCCAGCAGTAAGTATAATAACACTGCTACCAAATAAAGTACGTCTTGGCTTCCGACATCTATATTTAACCGATTTCTTGAGATAAACATTCTCAATGCGCTTGTAGTAACGTAAAAGTTATATTTTGTTATTGTCAATAGGTTTCTATGGAGAGATATAGGAATCTTAAAGTCCTTAAATAGTCCATGATTTCTGCATTTTTCGTAAACTTCCAGCTAATTTAAGAATTAAGTCGTTTAGTGTTTTTTGATTGCCGAAAAGAAAAGTAAAGAATTTAACAGTCATTTCTTTATGTCTCGAGTTTTTTTAAATATAGATTTGAGGTAACGAAAGTATACAGAAATTAAGCTTCAGTTTTTTTAATATTGCTTTTATTTTCAGACAGAAATCATCAATGAATCGATAATAAAACCCGAAATAGCGCTGAAATATGCCCTTCTCGATACATTGGACTTCGATCTCAATGACCCACCAGTACGTAAAGATGATCTCATGTCATTTTTTGGTCGAGACCATGGCCAGAGGATCGTCCAAGATGAGCAGGGGTCATACAAGGATGAACATTCCGCTCCTTTTCTTTATCAGACGAAAAGCCAGCTGAATTTATGCGTCCTTGCTGAATTTAGACATTCCAAAGATATTAAGCCAATATCGCCTCCACCTGTTATGTCAGAGCTGGCGATGTCACATTCAAAAGTCGTCAGCGAATTGAAGAATGCATTAAAGTCAAATGCTTTGAAGAGCTACAAGGATTGTCAGGATAAGGAGACTACGTCACCCACTGGGAAATTTTTCAATAAATTTATTGGTAAGTTTTTATTTGTAGTTTTTTAACTTCTTTACAGTGTCGAGTTCTTAGGTTTTCAAAATTCTCCCACAAAGGAAATGAAACTTTTTTCTGGATTTAAATCGCGTATATTTGTTTTTTCAAAGAAACCAACATTTCTGGCCGTTTACAGGTCCTATGGTCATTTCATTGTAGCCACACTTCTCAGGAGAGGTATTAGGGTCCAATAAAAGTGATCACAAGCCTCTGCCAGTTCATCCACTGACTCATGAACTCATTACCCTCAACATTTGAGTGACTATGGTTAGTGCATGAAGCCGCTTGGCTTGGCTATCTGATTTTATATTAATATACATGTGAACATGGGCTCTCTTCAGGTTCAAATCGAATTTGTAATAGTCTAATGTTAATAACAGATTTTGGCATTCTCTGAAATTACAACAGACACTGCAAGATGCCTCCTACTTAGGAATGTTTACTTCCCCTGATGTATTAATTAAAGGTCACCGTTATAGATGTTTCAAGATATACAAAATTGAACACTAAATGCTTGCAAATACTACACAATTTACAATGAGTCTTATTTAGGTTACTAGTACCAAAACGTTCACTTTGTAAATTGTACTTCATCTGTGTACATTAATGTGTTAAATTTCACACCATGTTCAAACTTCTACTATTATGTCTGTCAGCGGTTGACATACAAACGTACACGTATGCACAATGTGACATGTAAATGCTTACTATGGTCTGTCTTTTCTGAAGACGGAGTAAAGTGACTGTTCATTGCGCAAAAGTGCTGCCTTTCACAATCTATCTATAAAACTATCGACAACAATTGCATATGATGGTCTCATCGGCCATCGGTTCTGAAAAAAAATTTATATATTATGTAGTGTAGTTTATATAGATAATACAGTCTTTTTTCCAAATGCGAGTGCACCCTCCGGACAGCATCAACGCCCCACAATTATTTCCGAGGTTCTTACCGCCCCCTAGGACTCAACGCCCGCTGGGGACTGTAGGGACGACTTTGGAAAATTATAGACTAGGTAATAGGTGTCTAATAACATTTTCCAGGAACCTTCAAACCCAAAGACGAGGAACGTGAATGCCTGGTTTCATCAGTGCCGCAGTCGCAGATTGTTGCGTCGTCAGAGAACTTCTTCCGAACGAACTTCAAGAGTCCGCAGGCGGACAGCAAGTTTGAAAAGGAATATAGGAGCAGCATGGCCAAATCGATCAGTGGTAAGTTGTTTATTAAACCTATCCTTGAAAGCCAGACTCATATACAGAGCTATTTTTTATTTAAATACTAGACAACATAACATACGTTGGTCGGATCCCAAAGTAAGTAACTAAAGCATTTGTGTTATGGAAACAACGACGGTACCACAAACACTCAGGCCCGAGAGAATATAGTAAGGTTAGATTTCTACATTGACTCCGCCGGGACCTCAGAGACGGCGACACTATGAAATCCGGTCTGCAAGTAAGGCATGCAAAATCCGAGTGATTTTGAAAACCGGTTTTTCAGTTAGTCGTTTTTTTCGGATATTTTCTATTGTCACACAAATAATTCTTTAAAAGTGTCAGTCAACTAAAAAAAACATCAAATCAGCGTTTTGTAGATTATTTTTATTATTTATGGAATCACCGCTTCAATGAAATCAATCTTTACCAACTGCCTCTAGTCTGTGACCGAACAGTTACCAAGCCGGACTGCAACGCAGATGTCCCAGGTTCGATTCCCGGGCCGAGAGAAATATTTGTACAGCCAATATTTATTTATCTCGTGAGTTTGGGTGTAATTGTGGTTGTCCGCGTGCGTGTCCATGGTACCCGAAAATGTGTGCATTACAAATACGACGTATTTTAAGTACCTAACTATTATTTGATAATATACTAAATGCAGTATCATAGTTTTATAGAAAAGGGAATGTCATGTAGGGGTAGTTAAGGGAAGATTGAGGGGATCATGGTTTTTCTTGAGAGTGTGTGCGTTATTATTATTATTATTGTTAATCAACTTTTCGATTTAGCTCTAAGTTGTAATGCAACTGCTAAAGACCGGCGTGTCGCTTACTACCAGGTGCACGTCTGTTCGCCAAGTTTTATAGAAATCTCAAAACCTTATTCATCAGGGGATGAGTGGTGGCAAACTAGGTAATTTGCCACCCTTAGAAGTGGAATATTTTTTTCAAATTTAAATGGGATCGACATTGTGGTACTTTCATTCTACAAAAAAGAATCATCAAGATCGGTTCACAAATGCCTTAGTAAAAAGAAGCATCATACACCAAAAAGAAGTAGATAAGTGTATGTGCCTACACTGTGTACCTGCCTCTGTATAAATATGTGTGTACATTCAACAAACATTGTTTAGGTTATTCAATGTTGATAGTTCTGAGCTTGTATGAATAGACAATGAGAATTATTATTAGCTTGGTCATGCATGACTGCAGTCAAAATAATATCATATCGGCCGGAAGACGTCCACTGCTAAACATAGGCCTCCCCCAAAGGTGGCCAGGCTAGCCGGTTAGATGCGACGTGCATCCGTCGGTTACCCGCCGCCCTCACCAGGTCATCCACCCATCTAGTTCGTGATCTCCATTCAAGAACATTTCTGTTCCAACGGCCGTCAGTGCAACTTGCTAATCCTTTTTTATAATCCTAATTTCTGATTCGATCACGTAGAGATACGCCGAGATTCCTCGCTCCATAGTTCGTTGAATGACTTTTTTTTTTACTTTTTCATGAAGCCCATAGTAAGTGACCACGTCTCAGAGCCGTAGGTCATTGCTGGCAACACGCACTGCTCTAAGACTTTTGTCTTCAAGGACTGCGGTATTGCAGTCAAAATACGTAATATAGAATAGAATAGAATAGAATACGTTTATTTGCCAGAATACAGTAATTACAAAGGTCTTAAGTAAAATTAGGTACATTGTATTCAACCTGCAAGCAGATGTGCAAATATTAATGGGATTCAATGTTTATTTAGTCTCTATAGTTTCTAATTAATGTAATGAATTTGTAAATTCTATGTATTCTTTATTACTATAGAAGCAATGTGTCAAAAGCCATTTTGTCAATTTTAATTTAAAAGTATGTCCTTGCAACAATGTAATTTCGTTTGGTAATTTGTTGTAAATAATTATACACATGTTGAAGCAGTTATTCTTATAAATTACTTTATGGCAACGAGGTTGGTATAAGAGATTCATAATTTTTGCTCTAGTTTGCCTTTGAATGACTTCACCGCGTGTTTTAAAATATTGAGGATGAGAGTTGACAAATATAAGTTAAGTAGTAAGTTGACAAGTATAAGGAGGCGGATGTTTAATGTATATACAAATTTTGCAAAAAAAAAAAAAAAAAAAAAGGCTGATTTGACATCATTGTTCCTTCACATTCACACACTGCCTTTTATCTATTCTTATAGTAATGCGTCTAAATTAACACCCATGAAAAAGGAATTTAAAATAAATAGAAAGTTTTGTTTGTTTGTTATCTCCTGAATTATCACTCTTTATAAAATACGAATTTAAAAAAGTTATGCATCGATATTTTAGATGTCTATAATGAATTTAACCTATGTAAGGTCCATACAATTATATAATCTTTCACTGTAAGTAATTAGCAGTGTTACAACGAATAGTATTTCGCCTTTAGGCCGAATACCGAATATTCGGCCCGGAGCGAGGCCGAATATCCGAATATTCAGTCAAACTATTCGGTATGATTAATGATCTTACGAAATTTGGTAAATATATATATTTAAATTAAACCAGTAATGATGCATGACTTTGTAAAAAGGAAATTTTATTTTAAAATAGTTTATCATTTTTATGACATCTTAATGAAGAAAGTAATTGTTTATTTCACTTCAGTTTGTAAATGTAAGTCATTTTATTTTCATTTACAAATAATAATTACTAGGTTGATTTTGTTAGCGTTTATTTAATCGTGGTTTCATGACAAAATTACATAATAAGTAGCTAGTGTTCATTTCCTTTGTTACCTTTTTTTGATCTCATAGAAGTTACTATTTGTGATAATTTACTGTATTTTCTAATTTCTTCCTCCTGTTTTTACATATTCGGCCGAATAGTGATTTAATATTCGGTATTCGGCCGATTAGCAAAAAATAGACCGAATAAGCCGAATACCGAATAGTAACTGGAATATTCGTTCCTAGTAATTAGTTTTTTATCGATTCTTGAAAAAATACACTTTTTGAGTTACTACACTATTGTATTAACATTGCGATATGTAGAAGACAAGTGTTATCAAAATATAGGCTGTATTATTTATTATGTTATGAGTCATGAGAAACGTGTTCTTTGTAACGTGTTTGTATTACGTGTTCTATCATTGTTTTATAATAATTATATTTCAACAAACGCTGTGTAGAACGATTGATAGTAGAAAATAATTGTCTCATGACTTTAATGGCATCATTCGAGTGTTATAAACACGCCGAAAACCAGCTTCAATTGTAATCAATTTCAATTGTTTGAAGAAACAAATCTATGTGATATATAGTCTTGTCTTTTTAGAA